TTAAAGAAATCCTTAAATTTGTATGAAAATTGTCGTGATACTGAAACAGGGTCCTCAGTACATAATCTAGAAATACTATATGATTGTGGTGCATTATTCACTTTTCTTAAATATTGCGCTATATCAGCTGAATCGTATTCAGCACAACTTAATGTAAGGAAAAGCATTGGTGAGCCATACTCAGCAATCATTGCTTTGACTTCACCTTTCACACGGAACCAATACTGATTTGTACCCCGTATTGGAGCCAACATGGTACTTAAATTGCCCTCAAATTCTTCATCTAAAACATCAATTTTTCCCAATATTTCAGCAACAGTTTGACCAACGTTGCCTCTTGTTGGTTTTAATAAATTATATATGCCAGTTTTTAAGGCCTTATTAATTTTTAATCCGTAATAGTGCAAAGAATATGAATGATTTCTACGAAATCAAGAATCTTTGTTTAAAAGTCTAGATTTTATGTATTCACTAAATGATAAAGTCTGTGCTGGATAGCTTTGTCTGGGATGATGCTCTCCATATTGTCCAGTTGGAAATAAAGTAGGAAAGCATAACAAATCAAGATGCTCTTGCCTATTATCAATAGGCGCTTCTTTTACATTCATTAATTTATATTGACTGATATCAGAACCTGTTGCAATTTTACTATCAAGATTTCTAATGGTATATGCCGAAAGGCCTTCTAAATCTTGATCATTTGCTTTTTCAAGCATTTTACAAGTAGTATTGCTAACTACTTGTATAACATTTTTAGACGATTCGTCGATGGAATCATCGTCTACATTTCTATAAAGCCAATTTATTTCTTTTAATTTTCTTAGTGCTGCTTTTATTTTATTCACATCAACTAGGCTACGCCAGACATTATTTGATTTGGTAGGCTGTCCATTAATAATAATATGAAGTTCTGGATTAGGCAAATGATTAGAATCTATACCAACCTCATTTAAAGTTTCCATGGTTTTTTCTAATGGAAGGGGTAAATAAAACATTGCACCTTTCAGAGCCTTCAAAGAATTATATGTAGGCACTTTTAAGGTGTGTCTGCCTAGCCTAACAATTGTCTGAAAACACTTGGCCCTCTGTATTAACGGCAACTTAAAGGATCCAAATTTTCCAATTCTTTGGATAGTGGCTCACACTTTAACCCATTGAGCACACAACGTGCTGAAACTTCATTTTTCCTAATAATAGGTTTACAATGATTACAAATATACATAACTTTATTTAATGCCGTAGGATCATTCTCTCTAATGTAATCTAATAGGATATTCCAAATATCGCTATCTAAATTTTTAGCTTCAGTGACAGACTTTTTTTTTAAAAGCCTCTCACAGCTGCAACATACATTAACAGCCTGATCAGACAAAGCTTTCTTAAATTCATCAATAGCATCTGAATACTGAAAATAAAGTAGAGTATCTAAGTTTGGTATTCTAAATGGGTCATCATCTTTGCCATCATTTATAGCGCAATACACATTATCAAATTCAGTCTCATCGGCTTCATTAATTTTTAAATCTATCAATTGTGCTATATCGCCATCAGCAAGTATTGTTAAATGGGCATTTCTAGCAACATAAAAGTGTTTCAAAAGGCGTCTCAACAAAGGATAATGAACAGATGCATTGTGTAAAGTGCGCAGCATGCTTTTACAATCAGTATCATTACTACTACACACAATAGGATGGCCTATCCTTTGACAAACAATTTCTGAATATTTTTAATATTTTTCAACATTATTTTCATCTTTTTTAACAATTACCGTTACATTTGGATTATCAGAGAAATCATGTTCATGTACTTGATCTATTTCTTCAACATGCAGGGATCTTGTCATATAATAATTATTAGGACAATTATCACATGCATCTAAATGCTTCCTCAATTCTTTAATGGGTTCATCAAAATAACGTCTAACTTCGATAATAGAACTAACGTCACTTTCTAATAAAGGCTTGCACCTGTCTGTACAGAGCCATTTGAGGGCAGGCTTTCTCTTATTAGTATACATTCTATTATTATCAAAATTGCCTTCTTCAGAGTCACTATCATAATTACATTCTTCTACTCTATCAATACATGATACATCAACAACCCCTGCTATGTAACAGATGCCATTTGTATCAACAGGGATTGCAATTGGACTATCTAATTGGCTATCAAAATCATCATTAGGATACAAATATGCTGATTCATAAAAATAAGGCTCACTATTCTTTGTGTGACAATGCTCACCAAAATCACTAAAGCTATTCAACTTCAATTTCCTAATGCTATTTGCTGCACGTATCAATACGCCTACTTTGTGGGATCTATTTTTCAAAACTGATTCTAACAATATACTTGATGCAGCATTACATTTACTGTCATATGATGTGTTCTCAAAATCTATGCCTTTCATACTTGATGGCAATAAATCAACAACTATTTCGGGGCTGTAATATAATGCTTCTTTAATTTTTATAAAATAATATTCCTTTGCTTCACTTTTTGGTGCAGGTAATGAGTAATTTGAGCGTAATCTATACAATATGTGACTATAATTACGTTCGTAATAATCTTTATTTAGACGCCTTTTATTTTCCTTGATCAGTGCCACCTTTAACTTATCCATTTCATTATCA